CCTACCTATTGAAATAATTTTACTTAGCACATAAAATGTTTACTGGGATAGAGAAACATGCATTTCATTTTTTAATTTATTAAACAAATGTATATAACCACCCAACTCACACATAGGTGACTCCAGGCAGTTTACAATATTTATTAATGTTGTAAGTGATTGCTTTCATTCAAGAATGTCAAGAAAGAGAAGCTTGAGCACAACAGATTTTCCCTCAGTCCTGTTGGAAGGCCAATAGGAAGCCTCTGTACGCTTGTTTTACTGCTTACCTTAGAGCTTCACTTCTCTCTTTCCCAACCCTAGGGAGAAAGTGATGCCGTTGTGAGAAGATTCTGTGGGTGGTTACCAAGCCTTCTTCTCTTAGAGTGTTGTTGAAATAGCTTCTCATCCGGTGTTCTGTATTAGCAACTTCTAGAACAGTTAATATTCTCAGGACTTGAATTGTCCTCTTAGCAACCATATTTAGACTGGGCTTACGTGAGATGCTAGGCCAGTGATGGCGAACCTATGGCACGGGTGCCAGAGGTGGCACTCAGAGCCTTCTCTGTGGGCACGCACACCGTCACCCCAGTCCTAGGTCTTCAGCTGGGTTTTATAAAACCTTTTCGCTTTAGGCCTCTACCACCGTGTACAAAAAAAAAAGATTCAATCAATCAGTCAATTTCAACTTCTCGCGGAGAAAAAAAAGATCTTGCAAAGTTGGAATTGATTGATTGAACTTTTTAGTCCCACCCAGTCTGCTGTTACCACTGCAGCCACGCCCACCCAATGGGCCACACCCACCTGGCACCCAACGATGCATAAGTGGGTTTTGGGTTGCAGTTTGGGCACTCAGTCACTAAAAGGTTCGCCATCACTGTGCTAGGCCAAAATGTGGTTGGCTAATTTATGGTTCCATGTGTTGTGACAGCACAGGAAACGGCTAATTCAGTAAATGAGTTTACTTCCCACGAGGCAGTGTGTTGTATCAATAATGCAAGTTAGGCATCAGTAGGAAAAGCTGATAGGAATGCATATAGTGGGTACCTTGTTGATGCCCTGGTTCTTAGCAGCAACATGTCTATTGGAAATATGGATGAAAGCATCACTTGCATCATTTGAATTCTTGCCATCTTGCCTAGTTATTCATAATCCCTCAATATTCTCTTCAAGCAATCATTGGCTGCTACATGAAACCAAAAAAAAGAGAAAGAAGTGGTGATTTTCTATTGAGGGGGCGTGATGGCTCGGCAGTTAAAGCCACTGAGGTTGTCAGCTGGAAACCTGACAGTCTGGGTTCGAGACTCGAGCACCTCCTGATATGATGAGCTCACATAGCTTGCCCCAGGTCCTGCCGCCCACCTAACAGTTCGAAAGCACGCAAACGTGACTAGATAAATAGGTGCCACTTCAGTGGGAATATAAGTGTTCCGTATGCCTTTGGTGTATAGCCATGCTGGCTACAAGAACACCCTGGCTCCCTTGGTTAAGAAACAGATGAATGGACAAAGGAGTCAGACACAACTGGACGGGGGAAACCATTCTCTTTTTTTATTTTCTATTATCTTCCTACCTTTAGCTGCTTGAACAGTTAGAAAAGCCAAGCAGGAGTAATCAAGAAGCATAATGAATTGTGACAGGCCTATCTTAGGACTCCTTTGATCTTTGCTATGAGCAGTTGTTCTTTTCTGCATGGTATACTCAGCATGGCAGAAATTCAATAGTTCTGAAATACTAAAATTCTTTCTCTATTCAGAAAAATAATGCCCCCTCAATATATATAAATATATTATACATAGATATACAGTATTATATAGATAATTACAAGGGCAATTTGGAAATAAACCTCCATTTGGTTATCAATGACAGTTACTCGCAGATACAGAACTCTTATACACATTAGAAAACTACAACATTACATTACTTTTTGACATAATCGTCATTCAAATTGAGGCACTTGTCATAATGTCTTACAAAGTTTGAAATTCCTTAGTAGTAGTCACTTGGCGCCAAATCTGGGCTGTTGGGGGGAAGGGTTTGATCAAAAACATCCCAACTGAACTGCTTCAAAGGTTCTTGGATGTGTCTAGTGGTGTGTGGACAAGCGTGATCATGAACAACACCACACCGGAAGTGGTGCCATAGAAAATCCCGCCAAATGTGAAGATACCAAAGGAGTACTGCTAGTGAAGTTCATGGAGCGTGGTTTGACCATCAATTCAGAAATCTGCTGTGAAACATTACGAAAACTCAGACAAGTCATCCATAACAAGCGTCTGGGTATGCTGACTTCCGTTGTATTGGTTCATGATTTTTGATCACCCCCTATAGCCCAGATTTGGCGCTGAGTGACTACTACTAAGGAATTTCAAATCTTGTAAGATGTTATAAGTACCTCAATTTGAATGGCAATTATGTCAAAAAGTAACATAATGTTGTAGTTTTCTAATGTGTATAATAAAAGTTCTGTATCTGTAAGTGTCTGTCATTGATAACCAAACGGAGGTTTATTTCCAAATTGCCCTCATATTTTAGAAGCATTTGAGAATAAGGATACTGGTTCTACTATAATGATAATACTTGACAAAATTTGAACAGACTGATGGAAAGAATATCTAATTTAATAAGCACATTGTAATATCTTTTATTCTTTTTATATCTACAGAAGTTCAGGAGAGGAAGATGAAGAAAACCTATTATACTTTGATCATACTTAGCTTGAATAGAGCTGTATATCATCTAAACCACCGTACAATTTTCTTTTGTGGTTTATATTGAATAGTAAATATATTATCTGACTTGTATCTTTTTATTACTATCCTTATCCTAATACTTAAAAACATTTCAGAATAGCCATTATCCCATTGGGAACAACTGCAATTCTGTTGGGCTAAGGTTCTTATTACTCATGGCCATGGTGACTATCACTGATAAAATCTACAGGTTGCCTGGTGCTAGAAAGATGTTTTACAACTGTGTAGAGCCTTTACATGATGTTTGTATGGAGCCAAGATTACCTTTGTCATTTTTTTATTGCATCTCTATAAAATGTTCAATAATATTTACAGGTTCCCAAATCACAATACAATATCAGATCTGTGCATATCTGTAACTATAATTATGACTATAAATTATAACATAAAAAAATTCCAGGGAGTGAAATAAAACTCATAGTGCAACTAAGAACCTACAACATTTAAAGTGCAAAATAAAAACGGGATATTAAAAAGGCTGGGGAATAAAACAATATTCACTTCAAGGCAAAATAACAACATTAACTTTATAAGACTATTCTCCTTTTTTAGTGAAAACACTCTATTTTCCTCCCTTCATTTGTCAGGAGCACCTGAAAACAACCTTTGAGAAGGCTTCCGTGATTCAAACTGAGATGTGATATTTCTAAAATGTTGGTCTCAATTCAAAAGAGCACTGGATGTTGAGCCCAAAAACATTCTGTGCAGCTAATAAATCAGTAAAATGGCAAATTGCTCAGTCTCCAAAAATCTTGTAGCATTATTTTGGTCAACTGAAATTTCAAGACCAAGGTTGAAGAATAGGCCAGTTATCACTAGCAGGAAAAATGAGAACTAGCTTATCAACCAGAGGTGATGAAGAATCACAGAAGCTGCTCAAGCTTTTAGGGGCAACATTGGATAAGGAAGCTCTGTGATAACCCCATTCAGAACTGAATGAATACTTTAAGCCAGCAGTCCCCAACCTTCCAGGCTCTGCAGACTGGCGGGGGGGGGGGCAGGAGAGGGAGAGGGGATGGTATTGTGCATGCATGTGCCATTTGTGCAAATGCACCTCTGTGCGCTTGCACACTTGCCAACTACTTGGGCAGCCCATTTCCCAAAAGGGGTTGGTGAACATATACACATACACACCATATTACAAATTCTTGAGAATATTCGTAGCTCCAGTTGTAGGTTTCAGCAGAGGTCTGTTCTCTAAGCTTGCTCCCAGACTGGGTAATATCTTCAGTGGGGTTTCAGATAAAATGTGGTGCACAAAATTCAACTGGGGAGGAGGTGAACAATTCTGTCGTTGATTAGTGGTTTGGGTTTGGTCCGTTTCCTTATTGGTTAATATGCTGGTTCAAAGTCAAAGTGTTGATGGATCCATTGGTACAGTGCCAGGCTTCAATGAATTTGTGTGCATGATGGGTTTTGGTGTGGCCAATGATTTCGCCCCAGTTGAAAAAGAGTTGTTCGCTGTCGGTGTGGTTGGAGATCAGGGATTTGGGTCATGCTGCTTAACTGCCAGCTAATGCTCATGAATTCTGGTTTTTAATTGTCATCCTGTTTGTCCAATGTAGAACTGGTTACAATTTTTGCAGCTGATTGTGTATATTACGTTGGTGCTGTTTTCTTTCCGTGTTCTGCCTTTGAGCTTTGTTAGTTCTTGTCTGAGAGTATTAAAGTGGGTTTGTGTACTATGGTTATTCTGCAGTAGTCTGGCGCTTACATCTGATGTTCCTTTCATGTATGGGAGGACTTGTTTCCATGTTGCGTCTCGCTGTGTGGCTTTTCAAAATGTTGAAAAGGTGTTTCTCCTCTGCTTCTCTTAGGCATTTCGTGCTGCAGTCTGTTTTGGCTCTCTTAAAGTGGGTCTGGACACAGCTTCTTTTATGTGCCTTCGGGTGGTTGCTTATGAAGTTTGTGATTTGGTTAGTGTTCATGGATTTCTGGTATACACAAATTGTCAGTTCACCATTTTTCTGTCTCCTTATATCCACATCAAGGAAGGGGAGACTTTTGTCTTTTTCTTCCTTGCAGATAAAGCTGATAGCACACAAACCCACTTTCACTCTCAGACAAGAATTAGCAAGATCAAGAACAGCTTTTTCTTATAAAAAATGACTATCCCTGTAAAAAAACCCACAGACTATCAGTTAACGGCAGTGGAGATAGGGAGTCCCAAAAAGACCCATTCTAGGAAGAGGATAATGAACAGTTTAGAAGAAAGTTTTACTTATTTAGAAAATAATATAATGTAAAACTTACATTATGAAATATATATTAAGTATTAACTCTAGTTGGTGACATCTCTACAAAAACAATATAAAAAATCACTCAAATAAAGCCAATACAAGAAACAAATAACAAAAACATACTATAAAAATTCCATAAAACAAGCATATACACACATTAGGCTCCTAGATCGTGCTTCTAATGCTTGAGGGATAGCTCAAGTTCAAACAATCTTCTGTAGGGGTTTATTTAATTTATAGCTAAATGTCCTATGCAAACCTTCACAGTATCAAAATCACAGAAGGGTTGGCTCAGTGGTAGTTTTGGTCATGATTCAGTCCTGCAGATAAAGATCCAACTGCAAGGGGGAGGGTCAACTTAAACTTTGTAGAATCTAAACGGATTTTTACAATGTTGTTAAAATTAACCAGCTGGAATCAAGTGCAAAACTGACTCTAAAAGAGTAGTTTCAAATGAACTTTGTAAGTCATGCCCTGACCTAGACTCAACATTATTATAACTCAATAATACCAACCACTTAATTTAAACCTAAACATAGCTATTGTTAAAATAATTGGAACTAAATCTCGAGAGAAGCTAGCCATGTGTAAATATCCATATTACACAGAAATTAGCCATGCAACCATGAAAGACATTTTGCAAATAAGTACAATAGGCTTTCAACAGTGTTCTTATGAGCTAAACCTCTTGGATGACCTTAATCCATCAGGACCTCCTGAGCCATCTATTCCTGCAACCAACGGCCAGCTTGTGTCTTGAGATGGCACCCTTAGTAGTAATATTTGCATCGCATGCTAATCTTAGTGTTCAGTTTGTTTAATGTGGATCAGCTGGTACAAACACAGCTTATTTGTTTAGTTTGTAGCAGTGTTTTTCAAACGTGACAACTTTTAAGGTTTGTAGACTTCAGCGTCCAAAATTTTCCCAGCCAGCATTCTGGGAGTTGTAGTCCACACATCTTAAAGTTGCCAAGTTTGAAAAATATTTGTTTACAGCTTAGTATATTACACAAAGCCAGAACGCAGAGAAGATAAGTAGCTGAGCATGTTGAGGCAGGGCGGGAAGGAGAACCAGGAAACTGGCTTCTTGATATGCCATACTTTTGTGCAAAACCCAGCTTGAAAATTCTGTGCAGACAATTCAATCAGATCTGTTGTACTTTAGGACCGCCCTATGCCTGAAACAACCAAAAACTTGAGCCTCGTGTTTTTTCCACTTTGGGGCCTCCTTCATTAACATCCTCAGGAGGGTGCAGGGAACAGGAACGTTCGACCGGCCTGATGGAGTTTCCCACTGAGCAGCAGCTCTGCTAATTACTGTATCTGAGACAGGATGGAGACTGGGGCTTCTGAATGCTGGCAAGCGGCAGCATCCTTTCTCTGACGAGATTGCTCCTCTGAAACGCTCCTGGGAAAGGGGCCAGGCAGGCTGGACACGGAACAGGGGCTAGTTTTTTTAGACACTACCAGGCAGGGAAGCAGTATCTGTCTGAACAGAATCAGCAAACCCAGCTGGAATTAAGGTTGGAGTATTGATTAACTGATGATTCCTAAGCTGGTTTGAGGTATACAGATAGTCCTTGACGTACAACCACAATTGAGCCCAAAATTTCTGTTGCTAAGTGAGACATTTGTTAAGTGAATTCTGCCCCACTTTATGGCCTTTCTTGGCTCAGTTGGTGAGTGAATCACCGCAGTTGATAAGTTAGTAACCCGGTTGTTAAGTGCATCTGGCTTCCCCATTGACTTTGCTTGACAGAAGGTTGCAAAAGGTGATCACATGAACTTGGGATACAGTTAATGGTCATAAATGTGAACCAGTTGCCAAGCCTCTGAAGTTTGATCACGTGATTGTGGGAATGCTGGAAAGATTCTAACTCTGAAAAATAGTCATAAGTCACTTTTTTCAGTGCCACTGTAACTTTGGTCACTAAATAAACTATTGTAAGTCGAGGACTGTGCTCTCTTTTTTAAATCGAGCTTAAGAGAAAAATGTTGTCCGTGTGCCAGCCCTTCAAGGTAGGCGAGGTCAAGAAGCAGGGACAGCAGGGATTCTAAAAATATTCTTTATTGTTGTAAGGGAGAAACATTCCCAGTTTCTCTTGGTGTGCTCTTATGTCAAACAAAATCAAAGTGGGGTTATTTGACTTGATTTTTATCCCGTTTTTATTATTGTTTATAAAAAGCTCAATGCAGCGAAC